TCACTATCACCATATATGGCAATATACTGTCTTCACTATCACCATATATGGCAATATACTGTCTTCACTATTACCATATATGGCAATATACTGTCTTCACTATCACCATATATGGCAATATTTTTCCTTACAATCACCATATTTGGATTTACACTGTCTTCACTATCACCATATATGGCAATATACTGTCTTCACTATCACCATATATGGCAATATACTGTCTTCACTATTACCATATATGGCAATATACTGTCTTCACTATCACCATATATGGCAATATTTTGTCCTTACTTTCACCATATTTGGATTTACACTGTCTTCACTATCACCATATATGGCAATATACTGTCTTCACTATCACCATATATGGCATTCTTACTGTACAGTTACTCACTATCATCATGATGCATGTCGATCACAGTTGTAACACAACAAATGCCAATACCCATGTGGCGTACTAATCGTCACAAAATTCTCGTTACACATCAATTTATGTGTGTTCGCATGTGCGTACTGTCTTAGTGCATACTTTGAGGTATCCTCATAATAACCTTATTATTAAACATCTTTTCCTTCCAAGAATACATCATTGGAATGCCAAAATCCAAAAAGTTTAGAACAGAATCAGCGAACTTCTTTGGGTGGAGTTTGGTCAAACCCTGGTGGCAGCCATGTTTGTTTTTAATTATTAGAGGGTGTTTACACACGTAATCAATTCCATATTTGGAATTCGCATTCACTTATATGGTAGGATGAAAATACCCTGTGCAACACTGCAAACTTATGGCACGCTGTAACTTATGGCGCTACGATGCTGTCATCGATGCTGTATAATAATACATATTATCCTCACCTCATACTAACTATTACTATATACATTTGATTACAGCATGTATTCTCAGAAGACAGACATAAAGATCTGTTAGATATTTGTTGCGTTCAGTTTGAACCTGATGATCCACACTTCATACATGTAAGTAACAAAAGGTGAAAGGTCAGCATACCACTCTTATGATGCAAGGTTGTCCTTATTTGTGCTTGAGTTTCAAACCGCCCTCTGCAGTCAAGTAAATTTCTAGTTTAGAAAATGTCCGTTACAGATGGACAGACAAACAGACTGACTGACTGCAGATTGGTGTTCTAGCTTTATTGGGGACTCTTCAGAAATGTTTGTTTTGGTGAAATATACATAGTGTATGAAGTCACAAATACTATTAATATTAAACAGATTTGATTTCTCAGAATACCGTACATACTTCACTAGCCGATACTATAAGGAGTTTTAATTGGTATTATTCAAATTTGTGTTCCATATTTGGCAGTGTCTTTGTTGTGGTATGTGTTTCAGATTCAGCATCTTGTCTCATATTATTGTGCCTATTGTAAAAGGATTAATCATTCACTAGATTTTAATTTTGCTTATTTCGCTGACTGGAAAATCCGCTAAATCAAAACCCAGTGAATATGTAAAATTTAGCATAGAACTCATTATCTAAATGATAAAACCGTGAATTTAAAACCCTCTGAATATGTCTGAAATGGTAAATCAGCAAAATTTAAACCCAGTGAAAATTAGGAATTTTACAGTACATGACATGTAACTCCAGAAAATTAGATGCAAATGTTTGCAAAGATCTCATAGAGAGTGGGAGCGTCACACATCTAGTTTTACTCCTGTAATAGTGTTCTATTCTGTTCCGTCATTGCATCTATCATCGATGGAATGATGGAGGAGATTGAAATACTATTTGGAGGCAAAAACAATCAAGTTGTGTTGCTCTCACCCTCTCAGCAAGATATTAGCAGCTATTTTTGTCTTGAGGTCTATAAAATAAAGATCGTTCCTTCATGTGTTTTGTAGACCCACCACAGAACTTATGAACACATTGTGAAGACAGAGAACTATGACTTGCTGAGATCAACTAGACACTTCGGTGGCATGGCATACTATCTAACAAAGAGGAAACGAATTGATGGCTTGTTGAAAGATATGATACAAAGAAATCTGTAAGTTTGCTTTTGTTATCAGAAATTTTCCAATAGTTTTGTGTACTTATTCATTGAATTATAAACTGGTTCTAAACAAAATTTATGTTGAACCCACTGTTGGTGACTGACACAAAAAAATAATTTGTTGTTTTTGAAAACAAATATACAGCAGTGTATGCAACCATGGCTGAACGTTCGACCTCTGACCAGGGTTCTCCCAAGAAAAAATTCATAACACTGTAACTAATTTGCATAATCATTTGCATAATCATTTGCATATCATTTACATACCTTTCATTCATTAAGTAACAGAACTCATTTACAATTATGAATATTAATGAGCTCGGTCACAGTGCAAATATTTTTTTAATGGAATCAACACATTATGTTTCACAATTTAGAAGAGTTTGAATTTAGAAATGAAACATTCTCGAAATACAAATGCTGCAGACTAAAAACAAAAACAAATAAATTATTGTTGCAATATTAATGTGTATTGTAAAATGTTAAATGAAACTGACCATTGTGATATTACTACTACATTTTTGAGAATATATTCATAAAACAATGTACAAAAAATAACAGCTGTGGTCTAAGACAAAATCTTCAGAATCCAAAAAACAAGAATACTACTATGGAATGAAATTTTACCTGGTTGAACACTAGGTGGCGCTATACCTGTGTTTGCTGATTTTGTTTGTATGCTTTGTACATTAGAATCAATGATGCCATGGACTTGTTGTCGTTGTATCATTTGTTACATCCTACAATGTCCGTCAGCCATAGAAAAGAAGAAAACTAATCTCAAAGGAATTGACATTATAAAGGTATGCATCATCGTTAGTATTCTTCAGATTTTTGTACCCACCTTTTCACCACCAGTGCTCTCTTCTCTTCGCAAATTCACAAAATAGTACTGTTTATAGTCTGCACTTTTCTTCAGATTATTGGGACAAAAATAGCAAAATTTTTTAAGTAAAGTCTAAAAATTAACTTAAATTTTGTCTGCTGGTTTCAAAATTACGGTTCATTTCCAGAATTATTGAAAAATATAAGAAAAAAAGTGCAGACAATTTTGGACGAGAAAGTATAGTGGTGAAAAGGATGAACTGTCTTGCACCTTGACTAATGCCAAATGCCTAAAACTATACAATGTGGAATGTCTGGAGTTGACAAAGAGATAAAGTTCTTCCTCAACTACTAAAAGAGTTGGCCATGGGTCAAGTTTAAACATGAACCAAATCAGGTAGCACCTCCAATGACTGAGCTATTACAGATTCTAATGGTCGTTATCAAGGGCAAATAAATGCCAAATAAACTCCCCGATCATCAGCCACTCCCAGAGTACCAGGTATAAGCCCACTCCTCTATTTTTAGACATTTAACAAGTTGAAGGCATCCCCAAGTATGGGCCCAGGGTGTTTTTACATGATGTCAATGACATTTATTAAAATATGCGTGTAAAAAGTTTGTTTCCTTGCATAATAATTATGAAAGTTTATGATAATTGTATTTACAGGGTTTACGTTTCGGCTGATTGCCTATCCCTTCCAAAATACTCCTAATTTTACTGTCTAGTCATAAAACCTGGTCTTTTATTATTGTATCGAAAGTATCTTTGTATCCAATATCGTGTGAATGTATAAATAACATGTTAACAACCATGAAATGCAGTGAATCTTCATTCAATTTACCTTTCAAAAAATGCTTTGCGAAATCAATTACAACAGATTATACTTTGACATCATATTCAATTCCGCATTGCATTACCAGGACTTGTTTGTGAGTTTCCAGAGAATTGTGTCAGTACAACACTGCATTCTGATTGGTTTATAACAGACTTGACCTATCAGGTCAAAGGACAGTGTTGCAGGTCAAATCGTGTGAGAAAACATCATGGCAGACATTCATTGACTTATTCATACAAAAAATACATCTAATCAGGGATTGCGTTAACCCCATATTTTGCTTCCCAGACTCCAATTATTGAAGAGGGACCCAGTTTTTCAGGCAAGCTGGGATCCAATCACTAATAAAGTTATTCAGGGTAAAATTTCTATTAAGTGGGACTCGTCTTGCTGAGACACTAGCGCAAACTCTGAAATCTTACATACTTTTTTCTGTTCTCAATAGGCATTCATTGGATTAGACGCCGAGAACGGCCCCGCATTGGAACTTGTTCTACAAGCCTATGAAAACGAAAAACAAATACTACAGACTGACCCATCAGCTGCTTCATCGTCTAAGATTTATTGTTTGTACTGATTAATCAAGATTTGTTTGACTGCCGAACCTATCGAGTAGATTATCTTTTAGACTTTGGATTCAAGATCTGTATCAAGTTAGAAAAGTAAACCTTTGAATGACCTATGACCTGTACATCTTTAAACAATTTAACAAGTCTTATTAAATGTAAATAGAACTACCCACTATGCAGTTTTTTTGTTTTTAAATCTGTCGCTGTTCATTTATTTGGGTAAGTCTCAATGAACCTTTCAATATTTCCTCCCCTTAAAATTTTGGTTAGTAAAATCTACTAGAAGCCTTGGCTTCTATTAAAATGGTACAATGCAACAGAGGGGATGCAGCTTCTATTAGAGCATCTACACATATGAGAAATGGTGAATTTTTGGGCCTCAATTGTTCAAAAAGAATGGGTGCGGCATCTATCAGGGATGCGGCTTCTAATACAGATTTTACAGTAATAGCTTTTCCGAAAATGTGCATCCAAGGGCTTGGATATAAATAACTTTCCTGTTACAATAATTTCAATTACAGCTCTAAATTTGAGAAGTTCCAATCATCCTCTGGATGACCCTAAATTGAACAGTATATACTCTGTAGCAGACCACGAGGGTCAACCCATAATATCTGATGGTGGGCAGACACGCAAACAATCACTTTCAACACACACAACTCAAAGAGAGATGCATAGTTTTATTCAATACGTTATTACATCAAACTCTACATCTGCTGTAGAGGAAAAATAAATTAGAACTTTTAATAATTACAAGGAATGTAGGAAACATGGCAGTCGAACAACACACAAAAAAAATAGAAACGTCTGCTATAAAATTTTGAAAAACCACTTAAAAAAAAAAAAACATGATTGAAAATTTAAGTAGCAAAGCTGAAGAAATACTTTGTAATAAGTTTTGACAATGTTACTCGTAATTGCAGTTTATATTCAGATTTTAGTTGTGCACACATAGCTGTCCAGTGTATCTGAGGCAACCAGTCTTGAGGATTTGCGATTGCACAGAACAAAGACTACCTAAATTCATAATGAAGCACACGATTATATAAACTAAAAAATATATTGTACAAAAAATACACACTATGATAGAACTTGGCAGGTCTAAGGGGCAGTGAAAGGGACTTGAAAGCCATTGACGGGTTGGTAATGTATTGATTTTAATAAATTGGAAATACCAGCTAAACATCAACACTTATGCAGCAAGCAATTTCAACTGTACACATTAGCAGTGTTCTTACCAGGAATTAAATATGCAAGTTGGATACATTCAATCAGAAGGCATGCAATCCATGTGGAACAAGACAGAAACATTACCGTAAAATCTGTATTAGAAGCCGCATCCCTAATAGAAGTCACACCCATTCTTTTTTAACAATTAAGAACCGCAAGTTCACCATTTCTCATATGTGTAGATGCTCTAATAGAAGCCGCATCCCCTCTGTTGCATTGTAACATTTTAATAGAGGCCGCGGCTTCTAATACAGATTTTACAGTAATATTGTGTTCCCTTTACAGTGGCGAGACAGTGTACTGAAATGTTTTATCATATTCTACACTTAAATTGTCACTTCACTTGTATTTTCTTAGTTTTATGAGATAATTTGTCTCATGAGCATTAAACAAGCAGCCTCTCGGCTGAGATAGCTCCGCTGTTAGCAAGGCACATTTCAATTGAAGAACAGAAGATATCATTAGAAAATGAACAATATGTATAGTATGTATAGCAATCGGACTTGCCGTTTTCAACAAGAAGTCAAAAATATCACTTTTTACCAAAAATATTCATGAAATTTAGAGAATTAAAGTTATCATCACGAAATGAACAAATTTGAGAAAGGTCCACACGTAGTATCTATATATGTAATATCAAAGCAATTGGACTTGTGGTTTTTAACAAGAAGTCGAAAATATCACTTTTTACCAAAAATTACAAAAATATTCACTGAAATAGAGAATTGAAGATATCATCATGAAATGAACAAATCTAAGAGAGATCTACCCCATTTACATACACACCAAGTATCAAAGCATTTAGGCTTGTAGTTTTCAAGAAGAAGTCGAAAAAGTAAAACATTGACACGGACGGCGAAGGACAATCACTCGTATGATAAGCTCCGCTCAACAAAGTCGACAGCAGAGCTAAAAAAACTGGGACAAAAAAATTTAACCACGAGGCAAATCTGTCTGGTGAGAACACTGAAGTTTGATACAGCAGTTCATTTGGGACATAGTTCAACATGGTACAAGACATAAACATAAGCTATGATCATAGTGTAACAGCTGTCATATTACGATTGTTGTTTGATGCAGATATGTACCAACCTTTGCAGTCTATAATGTCAACTTTGCATTTTTGCACTCGTTTCTTCATATCTCAAAATTTTGCTTATTAATTTTTCAATTTTTTTTTGAAATAATAACATTTAAGCATTCTTAGGTTGATAATGTTCCACTATACACAATTGGAAGATTTCCCACATAATTCATTGAACGTGTCACATCAATCTAAAAGAAACTGAATTATATTAAGAAGAGATATAAATAAAAAATTATGGGAAGATACAAACCCACATATTTAATCCAAATGTCATTCACAAGCACACTTTGATAAAGAAGGCACACGTCTGAGCACAAATATTTTGCCCAATTCTGATTTGTAATGCTTGTGTAATGGAGGAAAATTGACAAAACATGCAGCACTCTTGGAAGGATGCGATGGGTTCAAATTTTCTAAAAAAGAAGAGTTTTTGAAGAAAATGAATTTAATGTACTCCAAGGCAATCCCGGGATAAAATCAGTATATTGCCTATTCATGAAGACAGGTAAACATGGCTGTATTTGTCAAGTGTGCAAAGGTTTACCTCTGTGTTGGTACTGGAAATAGTCTTTGGAATTTTTCAAATTTAAGTTACTAGCATTGTCATTAAACTTCTGTTACCTTTAAAAAAATGAAAATTTTAAGCGATTTGATCAAAACTCCAAAAAAAGTTGAAACTGTCTAATCAATCCCAAAAAATACATAAAAATGTGAACCTAAATTATAAAAGTGATGGTTTAAGGGACATGATTAGAGACAACCGTACAAAAAGCCATACCGCAACACACAAACAAAAATAAAAATGCCGTAGGAAAATTAGAACAAAACAATGTTTACACTGTTACAAATATGATAGGCTAAGTGAAGAGAATTTCAGCATTTTCTTTTGTTACAGTGATTAAGAAAATCTATTTACTCGTAAACATTAATAAATAACAAGCTTGAGATATGCAAATGAGGACTGCACTGCACGAGAAAAACTGTGTTCATTAACGTCACACATCATAGGTCAGAACTGATCATTAAACCTTATTTCAAACATTTTTATATATTTTTCGTGATAATTTTGAACCAAATGGTAATAACTTCCAATAGTCCAACATTTCTTGAAAAAAAAATGGAGCAAAACAAGATGCCGATTTATTGCGCAAAAGGTGACAAGAGTTGAATTTGAGTTCAAAGGGTTGATGCCCTATACAGAGGTCAAAGGTCGATGTAATCGACACCACATGTATTTGCATAATTACACATTGAAATCTATTATCATAGTTTTATCATTGGGTGTGGCATGCATGGAAATGTAATGGTTATCAACATAATAAAAAAGATTACCCAAATTGGGCCAATCTAGAAAAAATTGAGCTATCAGAGATAATAAACGTATACATAAACCAAGAAGTTTCTGTTTTAAATCTAAAACACTGACAAAAAAGAATAGATCTTACCACTGCATTTTTATAAAATATTGTAAACCGCTTTAAATTCAAGAGTCAATGATAATTTTTGTAGCATTGACAATTGTCAGGGATGAGAATGAGATTTTAATTGTCAGCTGAAAGTAAAGTAGCTGGGGTAACCAGTTACCACTTCATCTTTCTTCCCAATTCACACGGTCAAAGTCACTTCCTTGTCAAGCAATGCCCAACAAAATTTGTTCCTAATGTCTTTATCGATATCTTGCACGGCTGACTCGTTGTCTTTTGTAACCAATTTCACCATTATCGCAGCATGAAACTTGTAAACAACGATCCAGCGACGCTAACAATTGAAACAATAAAATGGTGGTGTATTGGCTTCGTTGGTGTATTGGCTTCGACCATACACTGATACAGGCCTCTTGCAGCCGACTACAATGACCCGACAACGTGTTTACTTCGAGTGAATAAACAAGATACTTATTGCCCCTCCCTAAAAAACATTCCTTGAATTTAGACGTTTCAGAAAACTATGGCTTAGGAATCTGTGGAATTCCGCGGATCCACTTGAAATTCTCATCTCTGAATTGTACTCAGATCCCAAAGACAGTTGCATCAATTTTTTTGATAATTTGTGATGAAGAAAACATAATTAATTGTAGATTCCTCTTCAATGTTCATTGGAACTGAATACACTAAATGCAATCCCTGGAAAATGATATCTCTTGAAAAATGATATCTTGAAAAATCTCAACAGCAAAAATCGCTTTACAGTAATATAAGTCAACACTGCTTGAACCTGCTATGCATTCTGGGTACCTGAAAACCATACTCATAATGAAAAGCATAGACACATGCCTACAACACAAAGAGACAAACATATACATCAACAGCAATATAAATTATACAAAGTAAAAAAAAAGGTTTGTTTCGCCACTAGATATCTAGGTCATCGTCCGGATCCTCATCGTCGTAGTCATCTGCCTCGTCTGGTTGGTAGAATATCTGACCAGCACCACCTCTTAAATGAGAAGCTTTCCTACAAAGAAATATAAAGTTGAATTATTTATCTGGGAAAAGTTGTAAAGAAGTTTTGACAAAATTTAATATGCACTCAATGTGTTGACAGCATTTATGACACTCTTTGTCCCATTAGTCTAAATTTAACTTTTAGTTTTGATAGCAACCAGTTTTTAATTCAAAAATCCCTCAGCATTTATAGAGAGTACTTTTTTTTAAAAACAGTTCTCACGTTTGCTAGTAAGTAGAACTTTGTTTCAGAATAAGGTTATTCTCACATGAACCAAGTGAAAAGTATAACTTTGTCCACTGTTGGTCAACCAGCTGTGTGTATGCATACGGGTAGAAATGAAATGCAACAAGTGGTCCACTTTGAAACATACATTATTAAATCAGGTTAATATGTACATAGAACTGAGCTTTGAATACAAGAGAAATGACCACTTCTGAAGTCGGTGAGTCAGAGACATGTACACTGATATCCAGACTTGCATACCCCTTCACATACTGTAAAAACATTGAAATAGTTACTCGCCATTTTAGCTAATTTGACTCAATACATGAAATAACAAAATCTTAATTTAGCTAAAATGCCAATAACCTTATTGTGAAAATACACTTTATTTTAAATTAACAACATCTTGAATTACGAATTACAGGTTCGCTAAATGTTCTAAAATAACAGAAGTGTTTTACAGTATGTTAACGAGAATTACCAGCTTTGTGGGGCATCGGTCAAGATTTAATACGGAAACAAATTTCATCAATTCCCAATGTAGCTAAAGGCATATGACAAATACCAGTGAAATTAAATATCAATAAAAAAAAATATTTTTACTTAAAAATGGATTTATACTATGAGGTAATATGTGAACTACTGTAAAATCGTTAATTATTCACTGGGTTTTAATTTTGCTTATTTCGTTGACTGGAAAATGCACTAAATTAAAACCCAGTGAATATGTAAAATTTAGCATAGAACACATTATCTAAATGACGAAACCGTGAATTTAAAACCCACTGAATAAGCCTGAAATGGTAAATCAGCGAAATTTAAACGCAGTGAAAATTAGGAATTTTACAGTACATGAAATGCAACTCCAGTACATACCATGTTGGTAATGGCTGCAAATCAAAATGACACAAGAACATTTAATATCCATGACTTACTGTGCATCCTGAATAGTATATGGCAACACTATGTTGTTTTTAGCCTGTCTTTCCTTTGCCGACAGGTTGAGATTGAAAGTCAAATTTTCTGTGGGATTTATCTGGAAAAAACAGAATATAACCACCATGAACAAAACCTGTCAAGCGTATATCACCTAAGTAATTGGACATCATATTTGGCTTGCATGCCTTTAATTGAAGTTGTGTTAAGTACATATTTTTTGCACTGCAATGTAAGCAACTCATCCACAATGCCAATCTACGAGTTCCAAAACAGAGTAACTGAAATAATTTTTTTTTAAGGATTGATACACACAATTTTCCTATTAATTCACTTTTTATTATATTTTCAATTGAAAAAAAATAAATCTTGAACTGATTTGTGAATTATGAATTTCCCTTCTACATTTTGACCAATATTCAATTGATCTTGTAAATGGCCGCTGAGATCTCATCGAGTGTGAGAAAGCCATGTGATTTGCTTTTTGTCCCCAAATATTGTTCCATTCTTCAAGGCCATTGTGTCCACTGTTTCAAATACTATGATTTCCCTAGGCAGGGAAACAGTAGACGTGAGGAAGTTAGAGAATGTGAAAACTATTTGGGAACAAAAAATGTTACATAAGTCTCTCTTAATAGAATAGAATAGATTTATTTCACCAGAAAAAAAAGACAATTGTACAGGAACTTTATCTGAATGAATATTAAATATATTTTTTTTTTTCTGGTGGGGACCAGAGAGGTAGTTCTAGCAGAACTAATTAGTCCCTGGCCCCAAAACCATACTCAACTGTTAAAATGTACGTTGTTGTGAATAGTGATACACAAAACAAATTATATTGTTAAGTTAAAAATAAATAAATACATAATTAAGTAAATAAAGAGACTACAAAGTCTCGTTAATAATAATAATAATGAAGAAACAAAAATAGACAATAATAACAATAATGCATATATTGCAATAAGGCAAGTATTTATACATTAGTTAAAAGATATTTTAATGAGATATCAACGACTATTTACAAATAAGATCAATTCAACTAATCACCAGAAAAGGACTCAACTCTGTGCAATTGCAGAATCAATGTTCTCACGAAAACAGGTTGAAACCCTCGTCCTTTTATATTTAATTTTGTCATTTATTTGATATAATTTTTGCTCAACGTATCAATCAAATTTTTGCTAGATTTAATCAACATGATTGAGTATTCAAAACAAACCACCTTGTTTATTTAGCATATACTCACTGTTTCAGTTGGACTTTCTTCCATCGCTGTGGTTGGTAATTTAGATAAATCAAAGGAGATGAACCGTAGATCATCAACCACGCTGTAGCCTTCATACTGAAGAAGATAAATAACAATATGAACAACTGAACTAGGTCAAATAAATTCAGCATGGAGATGTAAATGATGTTGTGGCCACAACCATGAAATAACAAATTAGGGTAGGATCTCATAAATCCACATCTACTGATACATTTGCATTTTGTCTCTGTGAACAGAAATGTGATAATATTTATCTGTCTAAGATAGGGGGCATTAAAAAGACTGCTTCAATAGAGGGTCACAAAAAGACCAGTTGAACATTGCTAGGATGGGGGGGGGGCGGCACAAAAAGACTACCGGGTAGGTGAACACTGTTAAGATACAGGATCATAAAAAGACCAGCTAAACCCCAATTCAGACTATAAATGGACCTATAAAAAATAGTGATCATAACATCTTTAATCAGCATACGAGCTACACCTCTGACGAGAGATCAAATAAACCTGCACCTGATTACTTGAGCATTGATCAAGATTTCTTGAAAACCTAGATAAAATTGAGGGCAGAGAAGAAAAAGTCTACTGTGAATAAACTCCTCCTCAGTCACTGTGGAAAGATACAAACTACCCTTTGATATCTGTTTATAAGCAGGTTTTCACTGTTCACTTGTACACTTGTCTTAACAGGCAGCCAGTTATTAAATAGCCACACCAATAGCCACACTGTGCTTATGAAAAGCGGTGTGTCTATGGTCAAAATAAGTTATTATCTAGTAGATACACATAACTGATAGTTTACATTTTAATGAGAAATTATGATATTCGTGTTGGTGTGAATATTGTATTTGCTTCATTAGAAGAACATCTGCAATAGACGAACAAACATAACCCAAACATTGTATTAACTGTATATACATGTACATGATTTTTTGTTCAACTTTGAGATCTCACGAGTTGTGTGAAAGACTTGTGCCAAACGCCTGCTGCAAAAATCAAATGATTTTGAACTCAAGTTTCTTTATTTTGTAGTTCACAAATCAAAAGACCGATCTTTGAGAAGGGAATATTTCAGTCAAAACATCATGAAATACATACAGCACATTATAAAGCATGGAAATGTTCTCCAAAATGATCCCATGCGATGTTTGTTGCCACTACGACCTTTGTTTGTCTTGTTTATACGTTCGATTTCATGCAAAACTCGGGATCGTGCAGTGAACGGAAAATGGTCTATAACAGTATGACTCATTTATTATACCTGTCATTTACGAAAATGTACGCACTAATGATACAGCAAATACATTATGCATGAATTCCAGGAACTATTCAGATAAATGAAAGTCCTCTAAACATCCACATTTAAATGTTAGCAGGCTTGAATTTTGTTTACCATTCCAACATCTTGATCCAATTTGATTTATAGCTCAAACTTCACAGGAAATATGGTTTACCTACCTTTGTAATCACCTTGCCGCTCAGCTTTTTATGCACCAAGTTACACATTCCGTACGGTTCGTCATACAGTGACGCAATAGATGCGTTTGGTGATAAAGTCAAACAACTCGTTGCCGAGTGTCTGATCATGTCTACTGTGTGTTCTTCGTGTACATCATTGTGTAATAGACAAACTAACTGCGTGACCGTAAAATCTACGGAAAAACACAAAGAAACATTATAGAGTTGATCATTTATATACTGAACATGTGGACCTGCAAAAAGCACATGTACTGTTCAAACTTTGTTTCAACTTTCAAGCTTTGTTTCAAAATTCTATCGAATAATCCCTGAGAAATGGTTAGTGAAGCATGTAAATAAAGTTTGTACATGTATGTATATTGTAAAGTTAACAAAATACACAGTAAGAGATGGCCAGACACCTTGTGTTCACACTGGTGTTCATTAACAACACAGAACACAGAACTGATTTATAAAAATTTCTTACCTCCAGTATCATTGCACAAGTGATGTAAAGCTTTTGAGACAAAACTCAGATATTTATGAATAAGAACTGGCGTTAACGAGTCTATAATAACGGCTATCTTTACGCTATTCTCCTGCTTGGCATTACTTATTTGAGTGACAAGGTCAAGCGATTCTGTGAAGTAGAGTTTACCATTCGCATTGGAAGGTTTAGTATTTCTCCTGCAAGAAACAGAATATGAGGTGATTTGATTTGGTAGACATCAGGGAGCTGCCCATGCTGGTGGGCACCTCTCACTTGTGTGTCGCACTAAGAATCAATGATCTGAATAAAAAGATGCCCACTGGTATTAAACAGTACATTTGGCAGGATTGTCTATTACTCACAAGAGAATACAACCTTACCAGTATAAATAAAGCATACATACCAGTAAATAAAGACGTTAAGCTGACGATATAAGCAAGTGAAGCTGACCATATAAGGAAGTAAGCTGACCATATAAGGAAGTGAAGCCGACCATATAAGGAAGTGAAGCCGACCATATAAGGAAGTGAAGCCGACCATATAAGGAAGTGAAGCCGACCATATAAACCATATAAGGAAATGAAGCTGGCCATGTAAACCATATAAGGAAGTGAAGCTAATCATATAAGGTGTGTGAAGCTGACCATGTAAGGAAGTAAGCTGACCATATAAGAAAGTGAACCTGACCATATAAGGAAGTGAAGCCGACCATATAAGGAAGTGAAGCCGACCATATAAGGAAGTGAAGCCGACCATATAAGGAAGTGAAGCCGACCATATAAACCATATAAGGAAATGAAGCTGGCCATGTAAACCATATAAGGAAGTGAAGCTAATCATATAAGGAAGTAAGCTGACCATATAAGGAAGTGAAGCTGACCATATAAATCATATCAGGAAGTGAAGCTGACCATATAAGGAAGT